TACCGTATCTGTGATGAGATAAAGGAGCACATTTCTTTAATACAGTTTAGACACTTGTGGGGTCAAATGACTTATACATCTGGCTTATTTCTGCAGTGTTCCCTGCATGCTTTGCCAGAATTTCTTTATGGGGAAAAGTTCAACATCGTTTGCATTCTGAGCATGATTAAATGCGTTTCGTATGGTTTGATCACGTCGTGCAGTGCAGTCCTGTGGAATGAGCATGTACCACCAAGACCCCTCTGGTGTCAGAAATATCTTACTCTATGCACCTTTGTGCAATTCTTCCATCCACGGACCTGTGGTGACTTCCTCATTCCTGTCTTTTTGTTTTGTTTGTTTCACCATAAGCTTACCAACAATAATTAATTGTTTTTTAATGTTGTGGTTTATTTTCCTCAGCCAAAGACTTTTTAAAGGGAAAGTGTCTGATATTGTTGTATTATATAACCGTCTTTTTGTTTTTAAACTGAAACTGTTCAGAGTAGAAACAGCATTGTCTTACCATGCTATGTGAAGTGACAGAGTGGTAGAAACACTGTTAGTGTACTCACATGTTGAAAAGAGGTTACAGAAATAATGTGACAGACCTGAGGGATTTTGATATGGCAGGTGATGTACTGCGAGTAGAACCAGTCTAGGGGTTGATGTGAAGCTACTGTGACCAAACCGTTAGGGGCCCTCGCTCTAGCGGAAGTGTTAAATGTTGTGTCCATTGTGTGTATTGACGTAGGAGTGGTTAAAGGTGCTGTTCAAAGCAAATTGCTGTAAATAGTACACTTGTGTATTTTAACTTGATGCCAACCTCCTGCCTCTCAGCATTCAATCATGGATCCTGATCTGGTTTTATGTGTGTCTTTTTATTCTCTTCTAAAAAAAAAATCTACCTGTCAAGCAACACTGTACCACAGTTCTGCTTGGAGGCGTTCTTCTGTTCACTGATATTTGGATATCTTTGGAATACTTTCTTCCTTGTCTTTAGAAGCACTGAGGGGGGAAAAGAAAACATACAATAAAACTGAGAAACTCTTGATGAACTAACCCTGCTTCCTGCTTCTTGCTCTCATTTCCTGTCTCATCTCTTATTCATAACATTCTCTCAACATTGCAGCAATACCTTTCAAAAGATCTACAGATTGGTTTCTCTTATGATGACATGCTTATTGTTCTAATGTTATGAAATATAGCTTTGTAGAAGCTTTGCCAAGTGTTGAGAGAATGCTATCGTTTTTACAATCTGGTGTATCTGTTGTTTTATAATACAATGTGGGGTAGCACTTATTCAAAGCAATACAATGGTTTCTTTCATCGTAACATTTTTAAAGAAGGTGTACATATCTCTAGGCTGCCAGTTCAATCTCAACATGCTATTTATAGATCACTTTAGTGTTTGGGGTGTTTCAAATAGCGTCTCAGTTTCTAGTCTGCATCAGCAATACCGTGCCTTGAATAATTTAGTGTCTCCAGTTTTAAAACATTAATGAGCCCTCACTAGCATTATTATGCCATCACTAACGAATGCTTTCACATGTTGGAAATGTCTAATTGCTCGCTTTACACCTAAGCACATGTCCACTTGAGGAAATAAACTGACATATCATTGCTTCTGTCACCACAGGGGTTGCCGGGGGCAGCAGGAGAGTTAAACCCAAGGATGGTCGGGATAGAGTGAGTGAAGCATCCTGGGCCGTCTTTTAGGGACTAGTGTGATAACGTGATTCTCTTTTCCCTGGTGGCTGTGGGTTTCTGTTGCACACACACTCTTTTGGGAAACAGTTGGAGCTGTCTTGATGTTGGGAATCTTTTTTTGTCTCCTGTGGAGCAATGAGCCATTCAGCATTAAACAGAAATCTACTGTGGAGGAGCGACGTGTCGTGAGGCAATACAGCATTCCCGTAATGTATTGGGAAATATTTAGTTTATACTCCCAAAATGTTACAACATTTAATTCATTGTATGTCCCAGAGAATGGTAAGTACGGTACACTGCATATTATGAAATCTGAATTAGTAAATTAACCCCTGTGTCTCACACTTAATTCAATTAAATTAATTATTTGTGGCATACATGTTTTTCTTCTAATCAGCTATCATAATAAGTCTATAATGAACTGTGTGGTCAAAATACAGACAGACCCTTTAGAATAATAAAGGGCCCCATTAAAAAAAAAACATTTAAAGGAAACCTTTCATCCCACAACCATTACATCACAATATATAATAAATAAACATTGAATTTTCCTGCTTTCAACTGGGATAATTGCTGCTGTATTATGCATTTGATTCAGTGCATCAAAATTATTATTTGCTAAACATTGACAAATCCCATACTGAAAATCGAATGTTAGGTAAAGATTAAACTCAACAAAAAGGGAAAATAGTAAATATTTTTATGTTATTTCTTTTGTGGACCTTTTTGTCCTATATGAGCAACTTTTTAAAAGTGAGGCACAAGGGTTAATCAAAGCCAAGTAGACCTTGGCGACGTACGAGAGAGGGAAGGGGATCCCAGGATGATGTAGGAGTGAAATGGTCAGGATGCTCACCACTCTTTCCCTGCAAGTTCCTGATTTTCTATCTGCAAACTAACAAAGACTCCCACATAGAAGGGTAACCTTTCTTAAGAAAATGTGCAAAAAATGCAGCTTTAGTTTCTGGTATCCACACAGTGTTCACTCAATTAACTTAACACGCTTCATAGAAGAACGAGTCACTTACCTGAAGGAATGGGTGTCTTTGTACCACCACAGTAGACCCAGGAACTTCACTCAATCTTGAGGCCGTGCTTTGGGGGCTTTGACTTTTTCTCTGTCTTTCTTCATGAATGGTGAAATGTGGGTTAAAGGAGATTGCAGCGTTTGCTGGTTTTCTGCCTTTATATAGTGTCATTAAAAAGGCTTGTGTTACTCACCAATGTTAAAGTAATTTGAAAACCAGCAGATTGGTCACTGCAGTCTCCCCGGTGCCCTGCAGTGGGAAACCCCCCCTTGACTTTAGTATCCCCTGTTGCAGGTGACAACTCCAGTGTTGATGTCTTTCGCGAGTTTTCTCTCCTCGCGTCTCTACAGCCCGAGAAGTTGAGGAGAAGGAGCTTACAGTTCAGCTGCTCTAAGAATCCACAGTGAAGACTGACCACCACACACTGGCCACTCTTCGGTCCCTTTGAAATATAGAGGGAGGCAGCCCAGGCCCATTCAAAATGACATTGTGATGCTGCTGAGGAAGGAGTGCTGCAGGCGTAAGCAAGTGGTATGAACCCTGCAGGGACTATAAGCTGTTTCAGTCTCGTAATTGTTTTAATTGCTATTGTAAATAATGTTCAGTTCAAATAATAAATCTCAGTCATGTGAAAATGTTATACAGTGCCAACAGTTACTTTACACAGGCGTAATTTCAATATGACCAAAGTCATTTCATCATGTCACAAGATCATGTTTTCATTTTTTAAAGGGCCCTCTAATTATTGCACTTCAGTCATTTGCAGAAGATATATTTGGAAATATCTTTCAAAATGGAGGCTTTAACTTTTGCTATAATATAACACAGTATTTGTTAGACTGCCCTGTAAATGCGCATGTCTTTTGAACTTTATTATAACATGTATTATTTCCAGGGCTTTGCAAATTAACCCTGATGCCATTACATTGTCATTCATTCACTCCAGAGCAGAACATTATGCAATTGTTACCATAGGCTTAATGGTATCCTCTCTATGATGAGTAAATTAACTTGATGTTTTAGATCAGTGTCTCTTTTATGATTGTTGTTTGTTTGTCAACTGCAGATCTCTGATGAACTGTCTTGAAACTGGTGGCAGAAATAAAATAAAAATAGGCTAAAATAGAAGGCCTAAAACGATCAAATGTGTTTTCTTTTTAACTTTGTCTAAGAAGAGGACCTCTGTCCCACGTGTCTTGGGGATTAATGGACTACAAATGTAAGTAAAGGTCTTCAAATAATTGCATCCTAGGCTGATTAGCCTAGAGTTGCAGTTAAATGATTTTGAAATATATAGGTATAACATCAGTAGCTAAGTACATTAAATTACTCAAGGACTTGTACTTGTAGTTATTTTTCACATGATGCTACTTTATACGTGTACTACACTATATTTAAGACAAATGTTGTGTTTTTTTCTCCACTACATACATTTTTTATTTAGTTACTTTGCAGATTTAGGTTAATACAAAATATAAATCTACACATACATTATTAGTTATTATTACAGGTTAAGCTAAACAGTAGTGTATAAAGTAACTCAAATAAACCCCACCTTTACCAAGTACAATATTGAAGAGATGAACAAATGAATGCACCAATCATTGAAATAAACTAACGTACTTAACAAGTACTGTACTTAAGTACAATTTTTAGATACTTTACTTGAGTATTGCCATTGTATACTACTTTGTACTTCTACTCCACTACAGTCCGGAGGTAAACCATGCACTTTTACTCCACAGCATTTATTTAATACCTTAAATTACTTTGCAGATTTGGATTATTAATGTGAAATATAAACAAAACTTAAATAAGACTTTAGTCACACTTTGAGTAAATTCTCAATCTACCCTGCAGCATACCGGTGCAGCTAGTTTTAATTACTTGGATAACACCTTTAATGCATCAATAATTATAAAATTATAAATTCATATAATATATATTATTCTGAAATAGACTAATCTGCATAATGAATACTTTTAGTACTTTAAGTATATTTTGATGCTGCTAATACTTTTGTACTTTTACTTGAGTAACATTTTGATTGCAGAACTTTTACTTGTAACAGAGTATTCCTACAGTCTGGTACTACTACTTTTACTCAAGTACAATATCTGAGTACTTCTCCCACCTCTGTTTTTTTTACACTGCAGTATTGTTAGTTTCACTAAAGTAACTAATCTGAGCACTTCTTCCACTAACACTCCATCTGGTGACAGTAATGCGCTTTCTATGTTGTTTTTTCTACGGCTATAACACAAATGAAGAAGGAAACCGGAAGCGTCATTTTCCTCCTGCTGGCGATCATAGCTAAAGCGGTGTTATGGTGTCATCGTCTTATCGGTTTGGGGTTTGACAACAGAAACAACAGCCTTATTTCGTGTCCAGCCACGACATCATATTTCCACTGGACTCTCTGGAGAGGTATGTCAGTAGAACATCGTTTGTAAATGTTAGAGATGTCGGGTTCTTGTGTGTTACCAAACTGTCCGTGCTAGCCGCTGCTAACGCTAGCTACACATAGCTCTGGCCTACATTAGCTAGCCGTAGTTAGCCAATACATTACACACAGACATGACTTCTCACCAGTTGTCCCGGCTAGCGTTATCTAAGTCGTTGTTTCAAGTTAACCTGACACGTTTGACACTGTGATATATATACAAAACGGCAGTCACATATTATGTCACTGCGTTGTTTGTTTACAGTCGGTGGTTGAGTAACTCGTCACTCGAGCTTCTCGGTTAGCCGGAGATTTAACAGTAGCCTAGCTTGATCCAGTGGAGGATTAGCCTCTGCTATCATAAACTGCGTTAACGATCAGGAGTCTGCTGTTTATTAGGAAGTGAGGCTGACATTATTTAACCTTTACAGTGAATGCACCTCTTATTAGTGTTGTAGTGTCAGCTGTCAGCCACATGACAGTGGGTCAGCAGACAGTGGTGCAGTTAGATATGTTTTCTTCAGTTCAATGGGCAGCTGAAAGCAGAGGTGTAAACTCACTAAGGGAATTTACTAAGTACAATACTTAAGTACAATTTTTAGATACTAGTACTTTACTTGAGTATTGACATGTTTTGCTACTTTGTTCTTCTACCCCACTACAAATCAGAGGTTTATAGTGTTATTTTACTCCACTACATTTATTGTTTTATTTTATTTATTTTTCAGATTGGGATTAATGATATCAAATAATCAAAATGTAAATAAGAATTGAATAACACCTGAGGTAAATCCACAAGCTATCCTTTAGTGTACAGAGTAATTAGAATAAGCTCCACGTTAACAGCGGTGATACATAATTATAATCAAAACATATATTGTGTATTACAAGAAAATGGACCAAGCTGCATAATGAGTACTTTTACTTTTGGTACTTTAAGTATATGAATGCCAATACTTTTGTACTTTTACTTGATTTATATTTGCAATGCAGGACTCTTACTTGTAACAGAGTATTTCTACACCCCGGTACTTATACTTTTACTAAACAGTACTAGATGTGAGTACTTCCTCCACCTCTGGTAAAAGTACATTGAAAACAAATCTGTGTACCTCGTACATGTAGCAATACGGTCTAACAAAGGTAGTACTTTGTACATTTACATTTGACATATTTTAACTTTTGATGGTATAGCAACATACATCAGGCAGTTTACACAATGGTTACAAATAAACTAACGCTGTAGAAATACAAGGTCATGTTGAATAGACACATATACACACAAATGTAAAAGAATGTTAATATCTGATGTAGTAAAAAAAGCAGAGCAAAAGCCAAAGTAGTTACACAAGTTAAAGTTCAATAAGATGAGTGAATAATTGGCAACCGATTAAATCAATATGTGTCTTTTTACTTTGCAGACTATTATTCTAAAAATCAATCACTGAAGAATCTCTTTAAATGTAATTTGCTGTAGTTAAACTTCTAACCAGCTGAAACCAGATTTTGTTACAATAATCAACAGCTGAGCTCAATAAATTACATTTATGGAGAACAGGGAAAAGAAACTTCTGGAATAAAGGATTTAGCTTCTTGTCTATCTATCATGACAAGATACATTTTTATCTCTGTAAAGGGACTGCTTTGTGGGACCTTTGACTGTGGGTCAAACTCTTTGTTGGTATTTTAAAGATTGATCAATTTATCTTCCAGTTAATGTGTTATCTATATCAGTCATTAGTTGAACTCGATTGGATTAAAAATACATTTAAAAGTAATCTTATTCCTTGTCTTCAGGGATCATATTTAAATTCAGTAACAGTTATGCAATCTACATAATCCACAGTTCTGGCTGTCACCAGTTTTCATTAGGAGCAATCCTGTGGTAATATAACCCCTGATTCCCACGGTTAAGTTTGAACATATCTACCAAAAAAGCACCCACTAATCTCCATCGACAGTTACGTTTTCTCATCTGCTCCATTTTAAAACTGCAGAGATTTTTTGCAATCTTCATTTGCAGGTTTCCGGCGGCCAATAGGATTGATCACCACCAAAATGTATATATGTTGCACACAGTCATTGCTGGAAATGATACCAATGTTGTTGCATACCTATACCTGTGTAACAGTAGAGGAAATGATCTCTAATATAAAAAGATCACTATTCAGAAATCCACATTCAGTCATACTGTATGCTTTATTTATTCTATGCATTTTGAAGAATCACTAAACAATTGTGAGTTTATTGAATATGCCCTCAGCATCATACACAATGTGCCGCCAGTGAAATGCATAAACAGCCATTCACTGGCTAAAAGGCTGCAGTTGGAGTTTACATTTCAGCAGTAAAGGAAGACTGCACTTTTACCAAGCATTTTAAGGGGAAATAACCTGATGTTGGTGCCTGTGTATCACTAACACAATAACTCTCTTGTCTCCTTAATCATCAGATGAACAACAACGGGAATAAGAGAGCTCCAACCACAGCCACTCAGCGACTCAAGCAGGATTACCTCAGGATAAAGAAAGACCCCGTGCCTTACATCTGTGCAGAACCTCTCCCCTCCAACATCCTAGAATGGTAAGGTCTCCATCGCGGCAAGGCTCAAAGCCAGAAATCACAGAGGCAATGTATTTCAATGCCCTAACTTGCAAATGTTTTAATGTTATCAGCAAAGTTTGAATCTGGCCTGCGGTCCCTAGTTATGTAACTTTGTATCCAGGGAAATGTGTGAATCATCTACATTACAGATAAAAAAATGTAGGTTTAATTATGTGCAATGTATCAAACACTTAAACTTGAACTATTTATGTTCTTTTGTTCATTAAATTAGCGTAACATACGATGATAAGCATCTTGGGTGGGTAGGATATACATATGTTATACATGTTTGTATATATATTTGTATTTTTGTATTCGGGATTGTGGGAAACGGTATTTCGATCTCTCTGTCCGTACACACAAACTGAACGATTGACAATAAAGTTGACTTTGACTTTTGGGTGTGGGGACAGAGAGTAGTTTACCGAGGTCTCCCATTATAAACCTGAGGGGTCACCGGAGGATTTACAGGATGCTACTTTGTAGGGCTGTGCAATTAATCGTATTTTAATCTCGATTACGAATTTGGCTTGCAACGATTACGAAAACAACGTAATCGAAATAAAACGATTATTATTTTTATTAAAAAAAAAAAAAAAAGTAATTATTATTATTTTTTTATTTTTTTGGATTTTCAGTTGAATTATACTTAAAGTTCAGGGTAATCAACTGTTAAAAACATACTGTTCACATTTTTGTTTCAATAAATGGATGTTTTCAAAGTAAATGGATAATCGTTTAATAATCGTGATATCAATTATTGACTAATCGTGATTAGGATTTTTGCCATAATCGCACAGCCCTACTACTTTGTTGAAGCTTGCTCTACACGAGTTACCACAGCTTTCAGTTTGATCTACCTGCATGTCTAGATGTCTCTGAGTGTTGCATAACAACAGAAACATGCCTCTGCAGACTAAGTGCTGGCAGGTCACACTGCCAAGTGTGTGATGCAAACGATTAGAGCAGGAAGTACTTCAAATATAAATGGTTGATCATGTGTTGCTAGGGCATAGTCCATGTTGGCATCAATGTTTTTTAAATAGATGTTTTCTTTGATACTTTCAAACACCTGTATTGGGCTGGAGGCACAAATCCCAGAGAAAGAGGATAAAGAAATCCTAAAGATGTAGTAAGCCAAAGTTAAATATTTAGTCAGGTCATGAAAAGTCATATCTGCACTTTTCCTCTTCCAGGGAAAAAGTAGTGCATGCTTTTATTGGGAAAATCTGATAAACAATAAGGTTAAATCTATGTGTCACCTCCACCACTCATCATTACGCCTATCTTTTGGTTTCTTTTCTTTATTTTGTTGAAATGCTAGCCGCACCCTCAATACACCCCCACAGCTAGGGACGTTTGCAAGTCTTTGAGCCTAAACAAATAATAAATTGTTTGAAATATAAATAGTTTGATATGTAAATAAAGATAACACCTTTTACTTAGGATTCTTATTTTGAAGCTGAATTTATGTTTGACGTTTCTGTCAGTCATCACATTTTTATTTAAACATTTCTGTGGAAAAAGTGTTTTAGTCATGTTCAGGTATTTTCTCTTTTTATACCAAACAAATTACTTGACGCAGATGAAAATACTGGTTATTGTTCATTATCGCTGAACATAGCTAAGAACACATACATTTAACAATAGAGTAATTTATCATATAATGTATATGTTTTGGAATAAAAAAATATATCAATAGCCTTGTTTGTCCCCTACATGTACAAATACAATAACACTTCTTCTGCTGTTGCTGTTTCATGTTTGTAAAGCAGAAAACGCATTTATTTAATCTCAATTTCTGCTGAACAGCTAGACTGCAGATCCTAAAATCTATATCAAGGTACTTAGGATATTGCAGCCTCATGATATTAACCACCAGACCCACTGGACGCTCGTCAATGTGACTGTTAATGTAAAGAGAAATAATGAATAGGGCCAGCAGTCAGTAGAGTTTAATTCAAGGCCCTTGCGAACAGATTTATTCAGGAGAATTAACCGTCAAATCTTGTGAATTCAAACCTAATTTCTTTTTAAATTGGGAAGCGTCGCAATCACTGACAGGAATTGCTCCTTTCTTTTCTAGGCACTATGTCGTCAGAGGCCCGGAGAAAACACCCTATGAAGGTAACACCTTTTGATATGATAATGGGTGCATTATTGACAAGTACACTCACGCTGCTCATTGTTTTAATTTATTACTTAGGAATCGTGTCACCTCTGTGGGACGGATTCTGAATGAGCTAAATGATGTCATCCTTTTCTTGTAGGAGGTTATTATCACGGGAAACTCATTTTCCCTCGGGAATTTCCTTTTAAACCACCAAGTATCTACATGATAACACCAAATGGGAGGTTTAAGTGTAATACAAGGTAAGAAAACTGTTTATTATTTATCAATTGTTTAAGGATTTAAAGAGTTTTAGAAAATCACTCTGGTTTGCCACTTTTCTCTTTTATTCTAACTTTACCTGTTTCCTCCACAGGTTATGTTTGTCCATCACAGACTTCCATCCAGACACGTGGAACCCGGCGTGGTCCGTCTCCACCATCCTCACCGGTCTGCTCAGCTTCATGGTGGAGAAAGGCCCCACCCTCGGCAGCATCGAGACCTCTGACTACACAGTGAGTGCCAACCAATGACTAAAATAAATGCAGCACATGGGGGTAAACCTCCTGTTATTTATCATATATCTTTTTACCATTTCTTTCCAGAAAAGACAGCTGTCAGCCCAAAGCCTGTTCTTCAACCTCAAGGACAAAGTGTTCTGTGAGCTGTTTCCCGATGTAGTCGATGTACGTATGAGCTCATTTAAAATGTCTCCACCTTTTTTCTTTGTTTTTCGTGCAGCTAATTCTCTAATTTCTCTCCTTCCATGCATCAGGAGATGAAGCAGAAGCAGAAGGCGCAGGAAGAGTTAAGCGCCCGCACTCAGCCCCTCCCCTTACCCGACGTGGTTCCCGACGGCGACCCTCAGCACGCCCACTACGGCCTCCCCGCCCTCAACGGAGGTCCCGTTCCCCTCGGGGGCGCCAACCCTGCCCCTGGCCTGCAGCAGGCCAATCGCAACCATGGACTTCTAGGTGGAGCTCTGGCCAACCTGTTTGTGATCGTAGGCTTCGCGGCGTTCGCCTACACGGTCAAGTACGTGCTGCGGAGCATAGCCCAGGAGTGAGAGGAGCCTGTGTGGGGGGGGGTGGTGCTTCCCCCCCCCCCCCCCCTGCAGGCGAGCCAGCAAGTGGACTGCACATTCGACAAACACACCGCAAGGGGGAGGGATGTTCAGTCCTCGGGTAAACCCCTCCACGACCACCACAACCAACACCACCACCACCATGGACTTTGGAAAACGGGAACTCAAAGCCGACCCACCCAGGAAGGATTGAGAGGAGGGGAAGAGGAGGTGGGTGGGTGGGGGGGGGGGGGGGTGTTAGTATGGCCCGGGGGACTGGAGGGGCTTATTTAAACGGTTGTGATCCGATCTGTGCTTCAGTGGTTTGTGTCACGATCAACTTGGCTCATGGGTTGTGGATGAGTGTAGAGGTGAAGTCACATGCTAGACGCACCACTTGTTCTGTAACTTTACAGATAAAAGCTTGTTTCTTAATTAACTATGTCACTTTAATCTGATAACCACCCATCAGCTCATAGACTCCTCAGGTCATGACTTGAATCTGTTCCAGAGAAAAATGTTTTCAGTCGTGAGAAGAAAAGGAGTTCCACAAAGAGCAGTTATGAGGTTGTACCAATTATCCAAAATAAACTGCAACCAGTTTATTTGAAACCGCGTGTGGCATTGTAGTCTGTTTTATTATTCAACACCTTTCCATTGGACAGGTTTCAGTTTTGTGCGGTTGCACCGTAAGAACCGGTTTCTCTACCTCCAGCTACATATCTGGTTTAACATGGAAATAAAACACAAATTGTATTCACTACGAATGTGTTGAACTCCAGATTAAATAGAACTCCAATCATCCATAAAATGGAAACAGTATTGACAAGTGTCTTTATATCTCCATTTCTGTCTTCTATAAATACATAAAAAGCATCAAAGTTGGCGTCTCAGTCTGTGAGAGAGCTACTGATCCATGTTCAGAGTCTGATTCAGTTTTCTCCTGTCAACCTATGAGCCAAGCAGCGATCCCAGAGCCTGCACAGAATAAATAGAGACCAGTACCTTTTTTTAAATTGGCTTAGCTGATCAGTATAGCGCCATTCTATATAGGTCCAAGTAAAGAGACACATGGAGAGAACCACCATTTTGTTTCTGAGTATTATTTTCTTTTTGATAATTTTTTCTTCGTGTTTTTGTTCTCTTATTTATAGATATGGCCTTGGCTTGTCTGTCATGGCGCTAAGGAAATGTTCAGTGTGTGTTTGCTAGGTGCGGGCTAACACACACACACAGACACACAGACAGGCCATGGCCCAGGCTCACATAATTGCTGATAATTTCCTGTTGTGCATTGCATTTAGTAAAGATGGTTCTACTGTATATCGGATGATCTGACAGAACAATGATCTGGAAGTGGAAGATTTGCCTTTCTATTGCTCTTTTCTCTTGGCGCCATCTTAAAAAAAGAAACTGATGAAGTTGATGATGATGGGAGTGTTTGTGTGATTATAAAGCAAATGCCCAAATTTCCATGCTTCAGTTAATCTTGTGTGACATTGTATGTTTTCATAGTAAATGCAAATAAATTACCCTGCTTGGCGGGGCATTTTAGAAAACCTTCCTTTTGATCCGTTTCTGTGTCAAATCATCAGTGATTAAGAGAGTATTTTACATATATAGCACCTTTCGACACAAGAATAAAACAATACTAAAAAGTGCAAGAAGAAACAGAGTAGAACTAAAATAGTGCAAGATCAATGTGCAAGTAATGCAGGAGAAATTAACTATAGACATATTAAAATTAAATACAGTAAGCTAAATAGTGAAGAGAGTGTTGTCAGTGATCATGTAAATGCAAAAGTGTTGATCAATTCAGTTGCACCTTGTAAAGGTGTGGTTTGTTTGTTTTAGTTTTGTACTGCTCAGTAGCTTAAGCTATAATATATCATAATTTATGAGTTCATATTTTGTATAAATAATCTAAAAATGCAAAATAGCAAGGAACATAATCTATTACAAAAAGGTAGTGGAGTAAAAAGTATTAAGAAGGATCAATTGAAAATACTCCAATTACAAGTACCTCAAACTTGTACAGTACCGGTCAAAAGTTTGGACACCTTCTCATTCAATGGATTTTGTTTATTTTAATTTTGTTCTACTTTGTAGATTTATACTGAAGACATCAAAACTATAAAAGAACAAATATGGAATTATCTAGTCCAGATAATCCAGAATATGATTTTTATTTTAGTTTCTTCAAAGTAGCCCCCTTTTGCCTTGATGAGAGCTTTGCACACTCTTGGCTTCTCTCAGTCAGCTTCATGAGGTCGTCACCTGGAATGGTTTTCAATTAACACGTGTTTCTTGTCAAGAGTCAATTTGTGGAATTACTTGCCTTCTTGATGTGTTTGAGACCATCAGTTGTGTTGTGCAGAGGTAGGGTTAGTGCACAGTGGATTTGACTACTGTTATAAGAACATTTACAGAATTTAAGAAATGAAGGCCAGTCGATCCGAAAAATGTCAAGAACTTTGAATGTATCCTCAAGTGCAGTCGCAAAAACCATCGGTCGCTATGATGAAACTGGCTCTCATGAGGACCCCCCCCCCCCGGGAAAGGAAGAGCAAGAGTTACCTGTGCTGCAGAGGATAAATACATCAGTTACCAGCCTCAGAAACCACAAATTGACAGCACGTCAGATTAGAGCCCACACAAATTATCACAGAGCTCAAGTAGCAGACAATCTCAACATCCACTGTTCAGAGGAGACTGCGTGAATCAGTCCTTCATGGTCCAATTGCTGCAAAGAAGCCACTACTGAGGATGAACAACAAGAAGAAGAGGATTGTTTGGGCCAAGAAACACAAGGATTGGACATTAGACAGTGGAAATCTGTACTTTGGTCTGGTGAGTCCAAATTTGCAATTTTTGGTTCCAACCGCCGTGTCTTTGTGAGACGCAGAGAAGGTGAGCGGATGGTTTCTGCATGTGTGGTTCCCACCGTGAAGTATGGAGGAGGAAGTGTGGTCGGGTGGGGTCACTGTTGGTGATTTATTCAGAATTCAAGGCACACTTAACCAGCATGGCTACCACAGCATTCTGCAGTAGCCAGCAAAATATAAATCATATTGTGCATTTTTTAACACTTTTTAGTTTACTAGATAATTCCATATGTATTATTTTATAGCTTTGATGTCTTCAGTATAAATCTTCAATGTAGAAAACATTTCAATAAATAAAAAACTTCGAATGAGAAGGTGTGTCCTTTTGACTGGTAGTGTACATTGAAGTTCACTGTATTTACCCTGTACTGTGGATACAGAATACACCACAGCAAATCATGCTTTAAATGTCCATAAAAGATTAGAAATGTGTCGTCGACTTTTTTTTTTTTTTTTCCTTTATCAAAAATGTCTCAGATTGACTGCTCACAAAGGCATTCCTCTTGAGGTCTCTGGGGCTATGCCATGTTTGTGTGCTTTGGCATGCGTTGTAAAGGACTGAGTTCCACAGAATTTTTTTTAACTGCCTACCTTGGAAAGGATTCCTCCGACACGTCACATGATCAGGCAGGTCTGATAAATAGCAGCAGGCTGTTCACACACAGACACAGCAAACCTCAGCAGACCTACACACACGTTACCAACAGCAGGATCACAGGCAACCTTATCAACCTTAAAAGTAAGTATGATTAGAAAGAAACTGCTAGATGCATTTTTTTATAAAGTAATGAAAATATTTGATTTGATTTCTGACTGGTTTCTTTCTTCCTGTGCAGCAGGTGGTCTGTTGAATGCCTTCACTCTGCTCCCAGTCTGCGCTCCACCTCACTACACCCTGCACCATGGTCGTACACGAGGAGAAGGAGTGTGTGGTGTGCTTCAACGAGTACTCTCGCAGCGGCCGGGTCCCTCGGGTGCTGCACTGCGGACACACCTTCTGTGCACCCTGCCTGGAGCAGCTGTCCCAGCTGAAGGGGTTCCTCTGCTGCGTCTCCTGCCCCCTGTGCCGCAGGATCACCTGCACCAGGGCCAGCCTGACCCTGCCCGGGGCCCTGTGGGTCAACACGGAGATCTGGGACAAGATAGTGGAGGACAAGGTGAAGGAGAGGGTGACACCATCAGCGCCGATGGACGATTTAAGCTACACTGAGACACAACTCATCCAGTCCACACTGTAAGGGGACTCCGTTTTTATTCACATAGATTACACTTGTGTAATTTCATGTAGGCCTGTGTGATATGAAGAGAATCAACCTGATATCTAAACATACCTCTCTGTCACTCTCTTTAGCCCTGTTTCAGAACAGTCTGGTGGCAAGACCTTACTCCAGAGGATGTTTGGATGTGTGCTGCAGCAGCCAGACATGGACGCGTGTTGACAGTTTAACAGCAGAAGTAGAAATGACAGAGGCATCTCCGTCCCTCTTTACGTTCTAACTGAAGGGCCCATGGATGTATGGAAAGGAACCTGATGAATGTTGCAGGACTACATTAGGTTTGCAGCAGGACCACGGCTGTTACTGATGACATCAGAGGCCGGCCTGAGGAGCGAAGGACCTGATGAAGTATTTATAATTAGATTCTAAACTCAAACAAAATATATAATTAGTTTTATTTGGTTGGTATTTGATTATGGTCAGGAAAATGTGTTTCATCATATTCTTGAAAATGTACGAACCATAAACCCAACTTTACTTTCGTTATGTCCTACATACAATCCTACCTGCATACATTTAAATATTGCACAAAAGCTGAAGCTGTGAACACTGAAACCTAATTTAATCATTTTAAATATGTAATTTATTTTATTTGTATTTTATTTGGTTTGTTTTTTATGTTGATCTGATTATTTTGTATGTTCTTTGCACTACACATCACATTTACATTGCTTTGTTAAAATGGTAAATCTGTATAGTTTAGGTTTATTTGCAAGTTTTGGTCTGTCATATTTTTTATTGTTCAAACTGTTTCTGTTTGTGAGATGAATAATAATGTTATAGTAGCCGAAGATTGTTTTTATTGTTATTTTATTTTTATTTTATTATGTTAATACTTTCTTCCACCTTTAAAGATTTAAAGATTGTAATGCCTGTACACTTGCTTGCTGCTGCTGCAACACATATTTTCCCAATTTGGGGTCAATAAAGTATCTATCTCTCTTAAAAGTATCTCTTGATTCTCGTCCAGTGTTGATTTCTCTCGACTGGAGATTTTTCTCTTTATTGGGTCTGGCTGTTTCAGACGGAAATCATAAATATAAACGTTTTATACATTTTCCAAAAGTTATACATTAATGTTCGGCAGCCTCTGCTGTTAGTACTGTAAGTCATTTTCAAAGATAGTGCCGCTGTGCAAAGAACGTTGTTTGAACTCTTTAACTTTATCTAAAGTGTAGTTATTATAATAAAACTTTAAAAATGTCCCTCAACTGTTTCACCAATAGCAAAAAATAGTTATTTTTAGTCTTTTTGATGGTTGATTTTAAACACTTAATATTTCACGATTGGCTGTAAGTATGTGTGCCGCGAAAAGTGTAGTGTGTGAAGAGGAGACGAGAGAGGTGCAGTGACGCGTCCTAAAACCCGGAAGTAAGCTGCGCATGGGTTCCCTCGACAAAAAAGCAATGAGATTTCTCCATAGGATTTTAGAAAATAGCTCGAAATAAGATCTGTGGGAAACATACCTGTTAGATAAATGCTCGTTTTGTTCAGCCGGATAATATCCACATGTCTACCCTACTTTTATAATTTTCTAATCATAAATCTATCGATTAGATTTATGATTCGACTTTTGAAAGTACAAGAAGATAAGGAGGACTTTTACAAAAAAGTAATAGAGATTTTTGTCCAGAAGGATAGGCAAATGGACTTAATCTTCAAGTCAAGGTAAGACCACCATTTTATTGAAAATGGGATCTTACTAAGAGAGAACAATCCAATAATTAAAGGTGGGGTAGGTAAGTTTGAGAAACCGGCTCGAGATACACTTTTTGTTATATTCCATGGAATGCTCTTAACATCCCGATAGCAATGAATATCTTAAGTGCTTTGACAAAAAATCCATAAAAAAATGTCATCTGTGGAAGCCGTAGTGCTGTAAAAAGCACGACCAATCATTTTAGCCGGCTCGGCTAAAATAACTGGATGGCCTACCTGCCTGTCAGCCTTCCATCTGTGCACAAACTTATCTCGTGCCCTCATTGGTCATGTGCGCGTTCGTGTGTGTTGGAGGAGGGGCTCTGTAAGGAAGTGGCAGATTTTTTCCGGCTGTGTATTTTCAAATTCTAGCGCACTCGAGCTGGTTTCTCCAAAATTACCTACCCCACCTTTAAATGATACAATTACATATTTTGGGTATCCTTTTGTTGAACTGTCTGTTTAAAATTAATCGAAGCATCAGACTAAAAAAGCCTTAGAAAATAATATAATATTTTGATTTAGGACAAAATATAATATTTGTAAACCTGAAGAGTCAGTGCCAGTGGCTCACCAGCCATGAACCTCACTGCACGTCACTGAAGAAGCTTATATATAAACATCTAAGTTTTTTGTGCCCCACCACTTTTGTACATATAAAAACGCCACTGAACACAACACATACGGTTTATTTCCTTTAACTG